TCGATTGCACATGTTCATACACAAAATGATTTAGCAGAATCATTTATTAAACATATACAACTTATTGCTAGACCATTACTTATGAAAATAAAACTCACAACTTTTGTTTGGGGTCATACTATATTATATGTTGCGTCATTGGTTCTTATCAAACCAACTTCATATTATCAATATTCACATTTACAACTTGCATTTGGTCATAAACCTAATATTTCTCACCATCTATTATTAGGTATCTTGAACCTTTAACGTGTAATTTATTTACTATACGCACGTTTTGCATATTTTCATTTTGATGAAATGACTTTCCCAACTTTGGGAGGGGAAAGACTACATCTTGATAAATATGGTAAAATTTCTTGGAACGAAACAATTTTATCTCACTTTGATCTCCGCAACAATCAATATGAGCAAGATGGTGAAAAAAATCATTTATTTGCAAAAAGTTGCAAATCAATTACCAGATGTATTTGTTGACGCAAGAAAAGTGACAAAATCATATATGCCAATAGAAAATATTTCAGCAAAAATTGATGTACTTGCAGGACAATTTGCTATAGTAAATGAATCTCAAACTAACAATTTTTACTTATAAACAAGAAAAAATTACTAGTAAAAAACATTTAAAATTTAAAAATTACTTTAAAGTAACTTTTCAATTTGGCTAAACTGGTAGTAGAGTATATAAATTTAATTATCTTGGTAAAAGTAGCAGTTTTAATAGGCAAACTTAAATCTCATCAACCAACAATTAATAATTATTATTGTTCATGACCCAATATGTCCTCTTTTTCTTCTTTTTTTTTCAATTGAGTAATGCTATTCATCATCACTAGGGTTGCATATCCAGTTTAGGTGGCGTTAATGTAACATTAAATGATAAGTGAAATTAAATAAGTCATTTAATTTCACATGTCATTTAGCCAATCATTTAATGCCACCTAGACTGGGGATGCAACCCCACTGGGACTACATAGCATTATTGTTTTCAATTTCATACTATCTTATTGAGAAATGCTATTCATCCCCAAAGGGAATGTATCCCCAGTCTATTCTATGTAGCGTTAATGTGACATTAAATGATAGGTGAAATTAAATAAGTCATTTAATTTCACCTATCATTTAATCAATCATTTACATCCACATAGATTGGGGATGCATCATTACTGGGGATGAATAGCATTTTTCTATCTTATTACTAAGCTTAAATGATGGTAATCATTGCAAACGAAAATGATAAACCTTATTATACGTGAACTTACCCAAATTAACTTTTTGTTGCTTAAAGTTTACACATAATAATTTCTACTCTATACCAGGAATACAATTATAAATCATTATAATAATTTAAAAGCTGATATACCGATTCGATCCGAACTCTCCTATTGAATTAGAAAAAGTTTGATCTATCTATAATTATTGTGTACCGGATCCCTAGGTCTCACGAGCCCCCCGAGGCGGCCTCCTCCTCGCACGGGCAAACATACATAACACACAACAACACTTTCGGCAGGAAGCTGCAACAATACTTGCATAGGATAATATTATTAGTGCACTTTTCGATAATGTAAGTCGTATAACTAGTTATTGATAACCTTATCGTGACATGTGTAAATGAGTTGGTTAGATCAAATGCATTCTTTATTGAAGACTGAAGTTGACCCTTCGGGATTGTAAAATCACCAAATGATTGAAGAAATTAAGGAGACGGTTTAGTTATTCAAATCAATTAATAATTTTGACTTTGACCTATTTACATGAATTTTTGAAAACTTGCGCGATTACCGGAGATTGAATACTATGGTGCACAGTTCCACTTAAATCGGGTGCATAAATCAAGGAAAAACAAAAAGACGCACAAACATTTAAAAAAAAAAAAAATTGTAATATTAAAGTAGAATTAGGTACCCACTACATTAGGGTAGATTAGTCTCTTGTCAGTTTTGATTTCAACTATAAAAAAAAAAAAAAATGTCCCCTACACAAACATTACTATAAGAATTAAGAGCTCGACTAGTCTTTTGAAACGCCCTATTGATTATGTAATACTAAACATGATTTCATAGTATAACGAGTAAATAATTCCAATTTCTTTTTTGTTTAATTTAATTTATTTCGACTTTGAAAATAACCTAACCAGAAAATAATGAAATTGTACTCTTATCATCGAAAAAGAACTCATGGATTATCTTATAAGTTAATTAATTGAATCGAATGGGTTCCTATAAGAATTGGATCGATAATTGTTTTGTAATAATAAAAAAGAGAATTAAAATCTTATTTATAAAATTATTGAATTCATTACAATATTACTTACTAAACATAAAATGTATTTTAGAGAATGGACTAGGCCTGATCTCTCAACGACAACTAACATAAAAGTGGGCTTCAAAGCCCAATTCCAAAGTTATAACAGCCCAAATGGCCCATATAATGAACTATTTTTTTTGGTAGTAAGCAAAAATAAATGCTAAACCACCTAAGTTGGCAGCTATTAAAAACTAGCATTGCTTGCCAAAGTTCATAGAAAAAAATATTTAAAAAAAATTTAATTGTAAATTCCAACTACTTTAAATGAGCATGCCACATATAAAATTATTTGCATCGAATTATAATGCCAGAAGTGGGCCAGAGGTTCTAAAACAATTCATCATTTCTAGTACTGGTTGGTAAGATTGGATGGATGATTAATGGGGGTTGTTTTAACCAATAAATTATCATTATATTTAATGCGAGTATTAAGCTTCTGTTTGGTACAGATTAAATTTAGATTTTAATTTAAATCAAAGTCAATGATTCATTTCAACCACATATTTTATAGGTTCCACAACTTTTCTATCAAATATTTTATTAACTTCTATCAAAATCTAATACCAAACAAGGGCTAAATAAATTCAGAACGCCAAATTTAGTGCTTTTTGGGATGGTTTAAAATGTTGATGTAAAAATTTTGTGTTGTGTTAGATTTCCACCTTGTCTTACCAATCAATCAAGCCTTATTTTGTCAAAGCGAACACATTTTCTTCGATAAGGTACCGTCTTTTTCCAAGCCCTTTCTCACTCATTCAACTCCATATATTACATAAATTCAAGTTTACACAATTCTGTTGTGTCACTGTCACCAGATTTCTTGATCAAACCTACAAGAAAAATCTACAAGATGAGATATGATGATCAGATCATAATAATTTATGATCTTGTTTTAGCCCTTCTTTCCGTATAAATTATAATTCTCGTCTCTTCCTGCAAAACGTTCTGCATGTTTATATTCCTTAATGGAAATTGACGCCGCCACGGAACGGTTCAACGACTGCAGTGAAGAGGATTCATCCATGGCTTGTATCGATTATGGATTGGCTGCCAAGGTTGAGGATTGCGGCCGGGCTGGCTCAGGGGATCGAGTACTTGCATGAAATGGTGGCACCACCTATAATTCTTGGTTGCATAAAGCCATCAAATATATTAATTGATGAAAAGTTTTGTGCCAAAATAAGTGGCTATATTTCATGACATCCCGTGAAAGGCAAGGCCTATTAGGGTACTTGGACGAAGAGTATTGGTCGGAAAAAAGAGGGGCTTCAAAGGAAAGTGATGTCTATGGATTTGGTGTGGTTTTGTTGGAGCTTTTGAGTGGTAGAAAAAGTGAACAAGGGTTGCTTGTAAAATGGGCAGCACCTTTGATAAAGGGGATGAATTTTTGGACCCTACTCTTGCATTGCCTTGTGATATTAAGCATCTTGTTAGATTAGCTAGAGTTACTTTGGCTTGTGTAGGGAATTCTAGGAAAAATGGGGTTTCGATTGTTCAAGTTACATCAATTTAGATATGGGGTTAAAACCTTTTTGACTTACGATTTTGTTGTATATACCAATTTGAAAAGTTGGGCATTCGTTGGAAATTCAAAATTATTTATTTATTGTTGTATTTATTAAAATTTGTCTGTTGGATAATTAGGAGAAGTGGACATGTATCTTTAGCTTTCCTATTAAGGGCTTATCCAAGTCATTCTATATTCAAGAACAGAACTTTCAAATGATGACTAGTTGTGGCAAAAAAAGAAGAAAATAACATTGTGCCATAAAGTTATCATGAATTTCCAACTCTTATGTTGGTTATTTTTGACAAAAAATTGTATATAAATTACAACTCGTGGGATAAATATACACTATATTGCGAAATATTCTGAATTCTTGTTCCTGATCAAATCAAGTCATAACAAGAAACTTGAGAGCCACACCTCCCGGATACTTGCTCATCATTCAGATTCTTTCAATGTCCTGTTGGCCCGAGTCCGATGTTTCTCCAAAGATGATGTGTTACAATCGAGGTAATGAAGGACCACAACCATGATAACTGAGGTAGCAAACATCGGTATAGGCCCAAAAAACCACAACAACAACGTAATAGCAAAATACAGTGCCCTTAAACCAATAGACCAAAAATCTCCACCTTGAATTACAGCTAATTCGATGTATTTAACATTAATGTCACTGTCCGGTGTACTAATGAGATAATTTGCATGAATAAAACATCTTGAGGATTGAACAAAACAAGAAAAGGCTAAAAGGAAGCATATTAAGAGGGTTATGTATTTAATTGACATGGTTTCTGGCCTTGTATCTCCATAGATTAATTTGCTTTGGAAAATGTTGGAATTATTTGCAATCCAGGCTCCAATTAGGGCACTTAGGGTTAGAGAAATTGATGCCATGAATGTTGCTGCAGTAATGTTGGATGAGATGACATCAAGAGCTATTTTGACATTCTTGTTGTTGGGCTGTAAAAAAAAAGAGAGAGAGAGGCCGAAGTCAATCGAATCATGTACAGAACAATAAAATCACAAAATTCAAGAACTAATTACTCTCCTAGATACTGAAGTCCCAATTTAATGGATTAAAACCATGATCAAGTATGGAAGGATTTCACCGACCTGCATAATTTTTTCGACCCAAACTTTCTTGTCGATGTTCTCAAAGCCAATGACTGTGGTGTGAGGAAGCCTAAGGCATCTGTAAAGCAGAAGAAGATGGTAAACAAACATGATTAGAAGCCCAGTTGGCACTAAAACAAGATCAAGATATTCTTTCTTGAAAATCATGTTTTTTCCTCTCTCTCACGAGTCAAAACCCTCAAAGAGTAGATAATTTGATTGTTTTAATTCTTAAATTTATGCTCAAAATCTTGCTTTAAAGGAATTATTTGCATTCTGATTTGCTTGTTTAAAGAAGACTCTTTCGTGATCCAAAAAATTTGTGAAGTGGAATCAAACATGTTCTCTATGGCTTTGAAGGAAAAGTTTTATACAGTAAGTTTAAAGAATTCAACATCAATTTTCAATAGGGTAACGTGTGGGGAACTTCTTTTGTAACACAAACCTTCTAAGAAGTATCTTAACTTATAATTCTAGGACTCAAATTGTAAATCTAAAAATTAAGTCTTTCTCCCCCGAGCTGCTCTCAGGTACCCGAGGTCAATTCCGGTTACAGAAAAAATAGATGAAACTCCCGGATAATGTATCATAGTATGTATTGTGTTAAATCTTGAAAACTTCGCCCAGGGTTATTGGCGATTTAGGGTGCAAGAGCATGTGATCTACTTGACCATCAAATGAAGCAATCAAAAATAATGTTTACAAGTTGTCAAGTGTTGATGAATTGTGAAGCAAAAGTTTTAGGAAACATACCAGGTCAGATACTGAAACAAGGGATGAAGGATCCACTTGATGAATAAGCATCCGACAAAGAACTCTACCCAGTTAGAACTTCTCAAATGTGAAAGGCATTTCATTCCGCTTTAAGGCAACTTCTATGCTATTGACTCAGATGAAGGTTGGCAATTCAAGTTTGTTACCATTGCACAATGTTCGGGCATTCACATCTTATCTTCGGCATTGGATCTTCCAAATGTTTGTTGCAGGAGATCCCGGACCACTCTTTCTGTTCATTTGATAAAAAGGTTCATTCTATTCACAGAAACTATTGAACCAGTAAAGAAAGAAAATAAAAAGTGAATCTGAAGGTACACAGCATTTTCAGAGACTGGAACAGTACCTAAAAGACCTAAAAGCAGCAACCAGAAGCACTGCAGTTAGGAGTTTAATGTAGATACAGAATTGGTTAAGCTGTATAAATAGATAGCTACTGACACTTAAAGGTTACATTGCACCCCTTGGAATTGGCTCTCTTCAATGCACCTCTGGTATTTTGTTCTTCTGATATTGATAGAACTGATTCAGGCTCCAACAATGAAGACGAGAAACTACGTAGCAGACCTGAAGATGGGCATTTCAAGATTCCTTTCAAGGGCTTTTTTGACGTACAAATGATGTCCTTTCTTGAATAATCGCCTAAAATACCCTTCCTACCTTCTTCATGAACAAGGTCATTTGAGGATGATTCCTCTTTAACCTTGGAATTGGAAGCATCTTCTACGACTTTGGCATTTATGAGAAAATTGCTGAAAGGATCCTCTTCATTTTTCGTCTTAACAGGAACATTAATGTCGCCAAACATATCCTCTGTTTCTCTTATTTCAACACGAATGTATTCGTCGTCCTCCTCAACTTGACATTTATGTTTTTCCTTCTTAACTTTGGGCAATTTGAACCATCCTTCTTTAAACAAAGAAAGAGAATTCAGATTCTTAAGAAAAGAGCGTTTCTTGGGTGAGGCTGAATCCTTCAATTTCTTCCTGTCATTGGCACCCAACAATCCCATAGCAATAATGCTGGTAATAAAAAGCTGACAAATTGCACATTTTATATGCTCGTGTCTCTCAAAAGACGAAGCCTCTGTCAAGCCGGTCATTCTCCTGATCCCAAGAACTTTTCGCGCCAAATCAGCAAGTTCCCGTCTTTTGTATTTGGGATCTTTAAGAATTTCTGCAGCTAGGTGACCAATATCCACTTTGCTTTTTGTCAATCCCAATTCTTCAAATGGGAACAGATCTTTCTTCTCGGGAATACCAAAGCCAACAAAACGAATTCTTTCATCCGCAAGAAATTTGAGGATCGAAGCAGGCAACTCATCCCCTAGACGAAACCTGAGGATCACACAACCAACACCAAAACACAATAGAATCAGCAGAACGGATGGATCACGAGGATGGCACACAACATCAATGCCAACAACCGGTGGACGATCCCAAATCTTCCCCTCCGGGAAGAGAAAATCCATCATGCATAGAGCTTCAAAATCCTTAGATTTGAATGTGATCCCTTCAAGCTTAACTTCAAAACAATTAGTTTTCAAGAACACAGTTCCTGCCATTTCAATCTTTCCAAATGGGATTCAATGCAAAACTATGCAACTATTTCTAGTAAAGCATTAAGGCTAACATGCAGGGGAATTTTATCAAACACAAAGGCTGCAAAATGAAAAACTCTTTCAAGAAAGAAAAAAATCTGAATCGATATTGCAGGGAGAAGAATTTCTGTTTGGAATACAATTCTAACCCACGAAGCTGAATTAAGAGAAAAACCATTGATTTTTCGGGTTTAATAAGGTTTTTCTGTTCTGGATATGTTACAATTTTCATCCACAAAATTCTAACTGATATTGGGGATTTGGCATCAACAATTCAACTAAATTAATGGTCCTTCACAAATAAAGCATTTCCGCTAAGGTTTTAGAGAAATTTCACTTTGCTGACCAAAGAACTTATCCTTTTTCCTCTGCTTGGGTTAGATAAAATTAAGCCCGTTTGGTGGCCATTTTTATGGGAAAAAAAAAAAGTTGTTTTGAACAGTGAATCTTTGGAGAACATAGGGTTAAAAAAATTGGGTTTACATGTAAAATACTAAAATATTTTATTGTGTGAATGTGTAGATGAAAATGAGTACGTAGAAAAAAGAGTTTTGAACTCCCCACATTTCACTGTTATTGTAGAAAACGTCCATACTTTTTATTTTTTGGTATTTTCACTCTTATTTCCACATTTCATTTCGCAAAATGTCATTTTTATCCATTTTCTCAATTAAAAATTATGAAATGACGAAAGTACCCTTCCCTTTAAATAAAAAAAAAGGAAAAAGAAAAAATAAATTGCAAACATAATCTCAACTTTTTTGAAAAGCGCAAATGAGTCCCAAATAAATTATTAAAATGGTAATTAGAACATATAATGTCTCCACCTTTCACTATTATTGCAAAAAACGTCCCTACCTCTTTTTTTGGCATTTTCTCCCTTAATTATACATTTAATAGCGCAAACAAAATTTTTTTTTATGCATTTTCATTAAATTTTTCAATAAAAAATAGTGAAATAACGAATATACCTTTATATTTAAATAAAAAAACTAACAAAAATAATTGCAACCATAGTCTCAATTTTTTAAAAAAAAGTTCAAAGGAGTTCCCAATAAATTATTAAAAAATTTAATTTTTTATAAAAAGTGCAAACGAGTCCAATTAAATTTATTTAAAAATTTAAAAAATATTTTTTATTTAAATATGATGGTATATTTATTATTTCACAGTTCTTTATTAAAAAATTAGATGAAAATGATGATTTGCACAATCATATGTGTAATAAAGGGTAAAAATGCAAAAAAAAAAAAAATGAAATGAAATGGTATGGTATGGTATGGATTTTTTTACAATAAATGTAAAAGATAAGGGCATTATGTACTAATTACCCTTTTAATAATTTATTTGAGATTCATTTGCGCTTTTCAAAAAAAATTGGGACTATGATTTCAATTAGTTTTTTTTCTTTTTCCTTTTGTTTTATTTAAAGGAAATGGTATTTTCGTCATTTCACAATTTTTAATTGAAAAATAGATGAAAATGACATTTGCGCAATAAAAAGTAGAAATATGGGTAAAAATGCCAAAAAATGAAAAGTATAGACGTTTTCTACAATAAAAATGAAAGATGGGGACGTTATGTGCTAATTATTTTCGAAAGAATGAGTGACAGACTTTGGCTAAGAGTTTTTAAATAGATTTTGATAAAAGTCGATGAAATGTATGATTAAAAAGTTAGAGGTCCCATTCATGAAATGTGTGGTTAAATTAATAATGAAATTTGACCCTATTTAAATTCAAATTGAACAAGGGCTTTATCTAAATCTCAACCATAGCAAAATATTGTGTTTTAACATATTTCATTACTATACAAAATCAACAAATTAAACCCTTGTTTAGTGTAAATTAAAATTAGATTTTTAGTAAATTTTAATAGAAGTTGATAAAATACGTGGTTAAAAAATTGTGGATCCCATGAAATATGTAGTTAAAATTAATTGCTAACTTTAACTTGAAATTTTTTGTAAGTTTTAATTTACACCAAATAGGAACTAAATGTATTTTATGATGAGTTTGATATAACGTTGCATTTTCCATGCACTAAAAGGTAGCATAGCGATTCAAAGTGTTGATTGGGGGAGAGATCTATAGCATCAAAGGGACCAATTCCTATATTTCAATCTCATGAAATGCAGCTGGTTTATTTTCTCATGAATAGGGACCTCCTTCACGTCATACACTCGGGCTCGTATAGTTGCCCCAACTACTATACTTCTTTGGATCTTCATCTCGACCTTTGTAAACTCCGACAATCTTTAATAGATTTGATGGACTTTTACATTACTATGAGAAAGTGAATGGTCAACGCAAATGGTAAGGATTTAATGGAGTGTATTATCATTCATGGTAACATATTGACCTTTCGAAGTTTTTCAATATGCCATTTAGTATTACTGGTGCTAGGCACCCATTCTTGTCGGTACTTAAGCATCATTAATTAATAGAACATCTTAAAAGTTGAGATATAAGTTTTATTTAAGACAATATCCTGCTTGAAGACACGTAGACTGATGCTAAATATTAGTAAAATAATGTTATTCATAAATAGTGACGACAATCAATATCTAATGTAACAAGTAGGGTCATTACACTACTTTTTTCTACCTACTCACCCCACTCCCATTCCACATTTTAGGATTAAAATTTTCATATGCTTTTGTCAAAAACTTCATCTCAAACCAATGATACATAAAAATAATAAAAATGGATCCAACTAATTCGAAATCAATTAGAACCCGCTAATATTGGATTGGTCGAGTTGTGATGACTGATGTAACCGTTCCATGTGCAAGATTCTAAAACATTTCAAGCAGTGGTGAATCTAGAAAATGAACTTAGCTAGGGCGGTCGATGATCGTCAACCGTCAACTGTCGCAATATCAAGATCGTTTATGAAATACGAGATAGAGGGAGAGAATGATAACTACAAGAAGAATAATTTATTACCCAAATTATTTTTCAATTGCAAAATGCCCCAATTTTTTTTTCAATTACAATTGATTAAAAAACAAAGTACACACTGTTGAATTGAGCTCAAGATGATAAATTAAAAATGCCATGTGGTTAAAATTGATTAAAAACTCATAGTATATTGGCAATTTGGCTTCTTCTGCAATTCAATGATTAAGGATAATTCATAATTTATAATTCAATGACCCCAAATCACAAATCATAACTCATAAATGATAAATTAAAATTCATAATTCAATGATAGTGAAACATAAATTATTTATTCTGAATCACAAATTCACAAATCACAATTCACAGATTCACAAATCAAATTCTCATTTCAATGTCAAATTGTCAATTAATTCATAGAACATAAATCATGATTCTTTAGTAAGGATAATCATAATTCATAAATAAAAAATAACACAAAACCGAGAGAGAGAGAGAGAGAGGGAGTCAGAAAATTCACGGGCTCAAAGTCATAGTCATGGTGGCAGTTGGCAGCACTAACGTCCCATTTTCGACCTTTCGGATCTTGATACTCGAGTCGTCTGGCGCTGGTCGAGGTGTCACCGGGGGCGGGTGTTGGTGGAAGTGGTGGAACTGTGTAAATTTGTGGAAAAAGAAAATGGAACTGTGATAAAATTAGCTGACCCATGTACCATATATAATTGATTTGGGCCTGGTTAATTGAAAAGGAAAAGCCCAACTAAATTGCATTATAATTTCAACCCAACCCAATGCAAAGACCCAATTAAAAAAAAAACACGAAGAGGAAGTCAAACCTCATCTCCCGCCCGTCGGTCTCCTTCTTCCTCATCCCCGAGCACTATTCCGACGGAAGCCAGCACACGCGGTCGCGCCCCCTAGTTGGGTGTTGGATCTGTCGCTGATTTCAAGCCAATTTATGCCCACTCTTGCAACACATCCTTCAATGATGTTTGAAAACAATTTTTTCATGTTTTTATAACCACTGTATCATGACATCAAATATATCTACACTTTTCTGTCTATGTTTATCAGTTATTTAAAACATGCGAAGGAATGTAAAGAATGCTTCTTATCTCTAAATATTTATATGCATTGGACATAATTTCTCCTTTTAATTTTGTTCTCTCGAATGAAGAATCAAGAATTGTCAATGGAGAATATTGTTGTTGTCAGTGGGTTGTACCTTTATTCGTTCCTTGCCGCCTCATCACTTTCTTTCTTTTTTTCCTTATTCAGACAAGGCATTTTAGTAAACTATTGAACATTTTTTATGATTTAAAATAGGGCTGTAAGCAAAAATCGTCAAATCGAAAAATCGAATCGAATCGAAACTGCATTTTAGAAACCTTCGGTTTGGTGCCACGTGGACCCGTCAACGAAATTGTTTTGAACCAAATCAAACCGGCAAAAAACGGTTTGGTTTAGATTTGAGAATTTTAATTGCGGTTTAAAATCAAATCGGAACGGCGAAAAAAATAACTAATTCTAAATGCGGTTTAAAACCAAATCTAATTTATATCTAATAATCTCAAAACTAACCTAATATATCAAAAGTCATTTTCCTTTTCAGAATTCAGATGAACTTCAGCCGACACCCGACACATCCTTGAGCCACCAATACCACACCAAATCGGAGACAAAGAGATCATGGGTCTTCGGTGATAATATTTGCTACGAATAAAGTTTCAAATCAATAATTTTTTTGAGCAAACTGAGGTAAGAAATATGAAATTATATGGGTTTCCCATTTCTCTCAACTATTGGATGATTGTGAAATAAATTTATTCACTCTGATGTAAATTGTATATCTACTATGTACATGATTCTATTCTATTTGTGTGGACATACTCTTGTTTTGTGACTGAATTATGTATGATAAAATATGTCAATAGAAGCTAAAAAGTGTTAATGTGCAATTTGATATGTGGATGAGCTGTTTAATAAGCTAAAAGAAACCAACAATGACAACTATACTTGCATCAATTTAATTGTTGTGTTTTATTGTATGCTTGGATATTTTGT